ACGCCACCTGCCTTGCAAGTGCAAGGTCCTGAGTTCAATTCCCAGTACCAAAAAAGAATAAATAAATAAATAAATAAATAAATAAAGCAAACAAACATTTCCCAACTTCAAATCTTAAATAACTATAGCTGAGAAATGTAATGCAATGCTAAGAAAGGATTAATAAGCTGAAGTAGTAGAATTTTTTGGGGGGCGGGGGTTTAGACAGGGTCTCAGTATGTAGTTCATACTGCTCTGGAACTCACTGTGTAGCCCAGGGTGGTCTTGAACTCACGGCGATCTTCCTGCCTCAGCCTCCCGAGTGCTGGGATTACAGGTGTGTGCCACCACATCCGGCCCAGAAGTAGTAGAATTTTAAAGTCTTGAATAATCTGGAATAAAAATATGTGATTTTTTTTTTTTTTTTTTTTTTTTTTTGGTACTAGGAATCAAAACTTGGGACCTTGTGCTTGCGAGGCAGGTGGCAGAAACACTGAGCTAAATCCCTGGCCCAGTGTAATGTGATTTTAAAGTTAGTTAATGTGATAATCAGCTTCCAGTTGTTGTGTTGCTGTAACAAAATACCTGAAGTAGTCAGCTTGGAGGAGAAAAGGGCTACTTTGACTCAAGGTTCTGCAGGTTTCAGGCCATGTTTTACTGGTCTGCTGCTTTGGGGCCTGGGGAGAGGCAGTTTATCTTGGCATGAGGCAGAGGAGGCTACTGGCTCGATGGCAGGGGGAATCGAGAGACAGGAGGGGCTGAACCCATGTTCCCTGAAGGGTGCACCCAGATGAAAATGACCTCACTTCCTCCTCCTGCCTCCACCACCTGGCTCTGGTAGAACTCTCTCTGTACAGAGATTTTGCTTATGGTAAAGGTGGCTTTCCAAATTAATGTCAGAACAAGGACTGTGTCATGAGTGATAGGAATTGACTATTTGAGGAACTAAATTATTTGTTTTATATTAGTATTACTTCAGCTAGGGAAGATAAAATTGGAAAGTCGGGTTACTTAGCGTCTAATGGAAACTGTGTACTGAACATGATTCCTGAGCACTTAGTGCTTGCAGGTTTTACTTAATCAGTTAGTACAGAAACACTCCAAGGTAGGTTCTATAATTATCCCTAGTAACAGATGAGGAAGTTGAATCTCAGTGATTAGAGAGTTTACCTGCAGTAAAGAATTAAGGTTAGGTATGGCAGATAGGCAAATTTAGGCTGCCTAGAGCTGGGCCTAATCCCAGCACTCAGGAGGCTGAGGCAGGAGGATCACTGTGAGTTTGAGACCAGCCTGGGCTACATAGTGAGTTCCAGGTCAGTCTCAACTACATAGTGAGATCTTGTCTCAAAAAAAAAAAAAAAAAAAAAAGCAAAAAAAAAAAAAAAAGGCTGCCTGGTTCCCAAGCCAGTTAGGTGGACAAGACAACCTGAGAGAAATGTGTGCCCCACCTCTCCACTTTATATAAGGTTTGTGTCAGCAGTAAGGCCCATCTAGCTCCTAAACATCTGTCCCTAACCAATGGACACTAAGTTGCTTTGTTTTTATTTTGCTGTCACATATAACTCCGGTAAATGTGTGTGACATTACATATTTATGTGGCTATTTCTGTAGTAAAGAATCTTAAAAATGAAGTTATGAATTGCTGGACTAAGGAATATATATATTTACATCAAATTTGTCTCCAAAGATGTGTGTTTAGTTTCTTTTTTGTCTGGTTTTGTTTGTTTGTTTGTTTTGGTCCCGGGGATCAAACTTGGGACCTTGTGCTTTCAAATTGGGTAGTGGCACCACTGAGCCAAATCCCCAACCCTACTTTGTCTTTAATTAAAGGAATCCTAGAATCTTGAAAGGAAAATTAACTTTCCAGGCAAGCCGCCTTCTTTGGGAAGCCCATACACACATACCCCAGGAATTACTTTACTAAGTAGCTAACTTGATTCTCAAGTTGTTTTTACTGTGTCATAGGCTGGTGTGTTTTTCTGCTTTATTTATATTGAGAATATTATTTTCATTTGTCTCAATACCCAAAATCTGAGTACCATGAGAATAGTTTTCCCCAGAAACACTCTATCAAATGAGCCATCTGCTGTTATGCTCTTAGTATTCAACATAGTGCCTGACACACAATAGCTACTCAAGTATTTGTTGAATAAGTGCCCCCTTCTGGTAATCAGCACTTTTATTTCCAAATACTTGTAAATTGTTTATTCAATACAATATTGAACAATCCATGTATAACTAGAAATCTGACTAAGTGCTTAAGAAGTAAAAGGTCTTAATTTCCTCTTTCCCATATATTTTTACCATGTAATATTTTCTGTTAGTGGTTGCTTTTCAAATAATTTTGTGGCTTTGTTTTTGCAGTGTAAAGAA